GGAATGCCACTGATGAGTACGAGTCGCGTAACAAACGTCACGTACTTGTTACCAGCTGTGATACATGCGTAGGCCTGCAAATCGCCCTTGCACTCTACGAAACTGGTTACAAGGTAATAACGATCTCAGGACGAAGTGGAGGAAGAGTATGCATCTCTGCCATAAATTACCAGCGCTACGTAAACTTTGCCGTACATTTGCCCTTCCTCCGCGTTATATCACGACCGCCGATATTCTGCGGCTGGTAAATATTCAAACTTGGATGAGAGAGAGAGGGGGGTGGAGGGGGGAGGAGAGAGAGAGAGAGAAGCAGAGAGAGAAAACCGCGCTGAATGTCGAAGGCTGCGCAAAATAACGGCTCACAGCTTCATTGCGTGGGAACCGTACTGATAGTAAATGTTTTTGTTGTTACGTCAACTAATGGGAAACCGGTGGATAGACAACTTTAGACAGATATTATATTATCATAACTGAGTATAAGTTGTTACTATACATATATGTATATGCAAATTTCTCGTAATAATTAACAATTAAATCAAATCAATTATTTCGACTATATTTTCATCTTGAATTTTCAGTGATGAATGCAATTTGTGAACAAATTATTCAATTTTGTTCTTACTTTTTTCTCCATACAAGAGATGAGAAACTAGATTTGCGAATAGCTGGCAGTTTTCCCGAGCATGTTAGCATTAGAATGGATAGGCGTCAGACATCCTCTCGTACGCCCGCTCTTTTTTTCGGTTGTGCAACCAAAGTTGAACGGTGATGTGCAACATGATGACAACCGTTGAAACGCAATATCTCGCGGCCTCACGTCAGAATCCCTATTATCCCTTCGAGCATGCAACATATTTCAAATTGTCGAAGTCCGGGCTCCAAATTAGTTTCCTTGTGTCAAGGGAGCGGAACATCGGTGAGCCCTTAAATCAGTTCTGCCGACAATCTCTCGACAGGTATTCACGTATTCATCGGTTTCGCCGAGTATATCGCATCATCACTCAAGAGCTGCTCAATCAAAGATTGCCACTAAAAGATGGATATTCGGCAAAGTCGGATTCTATCCGGATAGAAACTTTCAAAACGTACTTGATACTGATCTTGTGAAAGCTCTAGCTTTTTTAATCAAATACACATCTTCTCGAAATTATATACATCTTTAATATTAGCTCTCTGACAAAATATAATACTAACATGCGCGCGAGGCAATAATTTCATTCTTTATGATCTATGTATGTATGTGTAGTAAACGCGAAATTTAATAATTTAATTCCATTTATGAAAATTCAATAATGAGACTAACTTTACGTTGCCTAAACGTTTACGGCTTTTTTTTTACATTTATATTAATATTTAATGTTGAAGTTTTGTCTAATTTTATTAATTAGCGATTTGCAGTCGATCTCTTACGTCATTCGTGTGCTTCCTACTAACGAAACAATAAGTATGCACTTTAAATTAGAACTGAACGGTGTACGAGAACTTTCATGTCGTACAAAGGCAAAGTTAATGTAGGTCATCTGCGAACGGATTCCAATTGTGGTTCGATTGTTCAACGTGTCTGAAATTCGAGCTTTGGATTACCTCCATTACCTTTTGTGCACCAAGAGTCGCGTACGTCAAACGACCGCAGCTGATTTACATGAAGACCGTTAAATAATTTAATTGGTTTTTGCAATTAATAGCTCAAAGCAATATTAAGCGGATATAGAAAACTGCTCTAAAAAATGACATTTAAAATAAAAAAACATTTAATAAAGTCAAAGTTTCTTGAAGTTGTATAAAATAAGCACACACATACATATTTATCACATTTAATGCCAATTCTTGGACAATATATATAAAGTTATTAAATCAAAATTTTAAAAACTATTCATATGATAACAGTAATATAGTATGAATAAATTACTTTATCTAATATATATTATTAAATTGTTTAATATATTTTTGCATAAACATAATTTATATAATATAATATTTATTTTAAAGTTGCTTGCGTTTGACAGTGTGATTGAGATTTTAACCAAACGCTAGCATCAAATTTACAAATTTACAAAAAAAGCAATGTCAAGCAAGCTCTGAAAAAATTTCAAGTTTTTTTATCTAAGATCCAGTTCATTGGTCATAAACGAGCTCATGTGTCATTTAACATGACGTATCAGCGTCACAGCGTAACGTTATCGAGCGGTGTCAATATGGCGTATATAACGGAGTGGCACGTGGGATTGCGGCGACGATGGGCTTTCAAAACATATGTTACGTCATGTTCTTCCCCCTGCGACAGGTTTTCGCGGGTCTGCTGGACCCAACGGGCGACTCGCCGTCGGTCAAAATCCTGAAGGCGATCGAATCGGAACGGCAGAAAGAGAGCGAACCCGGAGGTGCAAGTGATAATAATCCACAGCAACCGGAAGCTCGTGCTCGCGGTCAAATCGTGCCATTGGAGCTGGATCCGACGAGAGAGGACAGTTTGCGCGCTTGTTTGGACGCTGTCAGGGCGAAACTTCCAGCCGGCGAAGATGGCAAGACATTCTTTTTATTAATCTAGTCCGGTTTCTGCAGTTAATAAAATTAAGTAAAGTTAGTCGAGAGATAACTACATTTCTTTTTATATTGTAATATTGACTATAAAATAAATAAAAATTCGCTGACTTGAGAAGAAAATTAATCGATGAGTAAATAAATATGAATTTTACTATACATGATTTAAGAAACTTTATTGGGATTTGATATCTATTACAGTATATTATCGTATATATATGTGTATGTAATTAATAGAAAAAAAGAGCTGATTATAAAGTAAATCTTTTATTTTATATTTATTTCTCGAAATAAATTAATTCTGAAGAAACCGCATATTACACAAGTATTTAAATTAACATAAGATTATATGAAAAGAATCTTTAAACAAAAATTTTAGCATCTTTTTTATATCACTTTTACGGAAAAACCTTAATTACTCTCTCATATTTGTGGAGATATTAGTCAATATTGTAGTACATATATAGATTATGTAAATGACTCATTTACATGTAATTTATGTAGAACGTGCATCGTCTATGTAAACAACGCTTTTAATAGCTATGCTTTCTTCTTGCTTTAGTTTTGCTTTAGTTTATAATTACTTCCTTGACGTTACAGAACTGGCGGTTATCGTATATATTAAAGCCACTTTGATATCGGTATTAAAATCATCGTTGAAAATTAATTTCTACTTTTTGTCTACAATATTTGTCTACAAGTTATAGAATAATTTAATATTTTTAAGACTCTTTCTGTATACCGTTTATATTGTTGAGTTTAGTATTATTTGCGCTGATGATGGCCAAAAAAAGGGCCGAAACGTCCGCCTTTCGCGAATCATGTAATTAAAGAAATTCTCTAATTTTTTTATTTATTTTTTGGTTTAAATTATATACCTTTGCGCCCTAAAAACTGCGCGTGGCTCTTTTGCCTTTTTACTCGGATTTTACTTGATTTTAATCGTGTAAGAGCCTTACTTTTATATCTTTTTAATATTTTTGCTAGCCTATAGACAATTTGCTTATTTAATTTTTATAGTTTGTGGTCATATATAATAATT